TTATATGAAAAGATTATAATGAATATATGAAATTGAATTAAGTAAATAGATTAAATTAATACATAAATAAAAATAATATTAAATGATATATGTTTAGAAATACAACATAATTTATATAATCTAAGGGAATACAAAGAAATGGAGCATAAGGTAGATGATATGATATAAGTTATTATATACATATATGATATATGTTATCAAGTAATATGAAAGGACTCTGAAAATTGATATAAGCTATGTGAAAGTGTTCTAGGTGTTTCTATGTGTTATATGAAGTATATATGATCATATGTGAACAAGATATGATATGTATGTTTACATGAATACCTGAGAAATGATCTAAGCTATACGATATGATATACGTGATTATATGCACTTTGGATATATGTTATATGACATGGATCTATGTGACTACGTGAGAAAGTATATAAGCTATGTGACATGTAAATGTGAATCATATGAAAATGTTGTACGTGTAAGTGAACTATGTGTATATATGAATATGTGAAATGACATAAATGACAATATCCATGTTAGGTGTCTTAAGAGCTAGAGGTATAGTTGGCATGCCAAGAGTCGAGGGTCTACGCGGTCCTTCGGGACATATATGTATTCCTTGGAACATGTGTGATGTCTTTTGAGACACATATTTGATCCTTTGTATATGTATATGATTCTTAAGGAATTTTCTACGTGGTCCTTAGGGACATTTTATATGGCACTCCGGTGCAATTCTACGCGGTACTTCGGTGTAATTCTACGTGGCACTTTAGTGCATTTATACGAGCTGTGGTGACAGCATTAGTGCACAACATCTATAGACTCACATATCCATAGTTCTCAATAATGTACATGGGCTAAATAAGAGATAATATTAATAAACTTGATATGATGATATGTTTATTCTCTTGTGAAATGATATGTGTGAGATATGATTTTTCAAATGGTAATTATAAGATCATATGATAAAAAGGAATCAATGATAGTGATAAGAATAATGATGATGATATAGTTTCTTGTGTGTATGGGTTTTATAATAGGATATATGTTTTACATAACATGATGATAAAATAACAAGTCTATAAGACATATAATATATATATAAGAAATCATAGGAACATGAGATAAGAGATATGAATAATAATGACATATATGTGTAGGTATGTATTTGTTACATGTAAAAGTATATGAGTTGTATGGAATGATAGTAGTAATTGTTTATGTATGATTACTAGTTAATGTTTACATTATATGTTTATTGCCTCACTAAGTCATTGACTTAGCGTGTGAGTGTTTCACACGTAGGTTCCGGAAAGCTAAAAAAAAGTTAAGAGGGCAAGACAGGTCAGTATCTCCTTTACGAAGTTCAGATCAGAAATGTATATGGAAATCTACGTATATTGTTATATTAATTGTAGTTGGCATGTACTCAATCAATTGTATTGAATATGTTCTGGTGGGCTTTGTAAGACTAAAGGTTATAGCTAATGAAAATCATTTACTTTCTTGAATTTTGGATTTAGATTTTACTAATTTATGAGGAAAAATGTTTTGATAAGTAAATGTGACACCTCAGACCCAGATACAGGTCAGATACGGGTTGGGGGTGTTACAGTTACAAACCATCGATCTTGAGAAGCTGGGATCACTAGATCTCAAGAAGCTTGAAGCCTTGGAGAACATCCAAGAGGATGTGCAGACTGCACTCAACGTATTAGATGCAAAGAGTTCCCAACAAGATGATGCATTAGAAGCCCAAATCCTGGCCTTAACACAAGAGGTCAAAGAACTTAAAAATCAGGGTTTTGGAACCGAGGTTGAAAACCTAAAGAAGAAGATCGAGCAACTTAAGATCGAGGTGGCCTTGTGCAAGGCTATCGTGGCTGGTGGCATCCTAACCAACGCCCTCAAAGGTCAGGCCGAAGTTCCTAAACCAGAAATGTTTAAAGGGACTAGGTTGGCCAAAGACTTTGAAAATTTTATATGGAACATGGATCAATACTTTCGAGCCATGGGAATTGAGAATGATATTGAGAAAGTAAACATTACTTCTGTTTACCTAACTGATTTAATACTCTTATGGTGGCGACGTAAATGCACTGAGATGAAACAAGATGACACTACCATTGGAACCTGGGCAGAATTCCAAGCTGAGTTCAAAGAGCAATTTTACCCTTACCATGCTGAGAATGAGGCACGATCAAAACTAAGGTTTCTTAGGTAAGAAGGATCTCTAAAGGAGCATGTTCAACAATTTGTCGAGTTAATCTTACAAGTCCCAAGTCTAACCGAAGAGGACAGGTTCTTCACCTTCATGGACAGATTAAAGCCATGTGCCAAAAACGAGTTGGAAAGAAGGGGTGCTAAAAACTGTCTAAAGCCTTGACAACCACTGAATCCCTCATCGAACTTCGTGTTAAGAAACCCAAGCCTCCCAAATCAAAAGCCGAGGGTCCTAGTAAAGTAAACCAAGATAAAGGCAAAAAACAAACCCTATCAAGTGATGATGAGGAGCCTACAAAAGGCAGAATATATCGACGCAACAAGTCAAAAGAGAATGGGACATCCAATCAATCTGTTGTTTCAATTGCCATGAGCAATGACACTTTGCAAGAGATTGACCCTACATTGAAACTCGCACCTGTTTCCGAAGAAGAAGAAAATTCAGAGGAAAAAGTATGTAAACTTAGCTCAATTACAAGTGTTAAGCCAAAGGTAAATTACAAGCGACGAAAAGATCACCGAGGGAGGAGACCACAAAGGGTACAAAATTACCCACTCCAAGTCACACAACATTAAAGCCGAAAGTAATGGTTAATGTACGTGAACATCAATCTTGTTGGACAATCTGGAGTTGCCCTCGTGGATACAGGGGCAACTGATTTATTCATATAAAAAAGGGTCACCGACGATCTTAGACTCAAAATTGAACCATCAAAGGGATCAATCAAGATGTCAACACTGACGAAGTCCCAATTGTTGGAATAACGCAGAATGTAGAATTGAAGATTGGAGGATGGAAGGACAACGTAGACTTCATGATAATCTCCATGGATCACTTCGATTTTGTCATCGGGTTGAACTTCCTTATCCAGATCAAAGCCTCTATCATTTCCTATGAAATTGTCATGAGCATCATGGATTCCCGATGGCAAGGCAGTGTCTCATTGATACAAAGTGATCAAGAAGAGACCAAGACCTTAACAGTTATTCAATATGCCGAGAATGCTCTAAAAAAGGTGAACACCACTTTGGGAACTACTTTTAAAGTCACAAAGCAAACCAAAGAAAACCTAGCGACGAAGGCTTCACTAGAACAAGAGGGGAGAATGTCATAAGACGAGAACTTATAGGCGAGGTCGGCCCAAAACAGACTATATGTGGGACCTCAACCAAAACAAAGTAGGCTTCTCCCACTGTGGTGTCGAGACCAACACCCACCATGATGCGACAGACACCGCCCAAGCAGCCCATAAGGGCCACGCCAAGACAAGGCACATATAGCGCCGAACACACATGCTCGCCCAAAACTACCCACAAGCACGACCATCAAACAGCAAGGGTCACCTAGGGTTGTGACCACCACACACCAAGGTGAACCTAGAGCTGAGACCAACGCACGACAAGGTCATCCGAGGGCTCTAGCCAACAAGCAATGGGACATACTCAAGGTCAGAGCCAACGCACACCAAGTGTGAGCCTAAAACTAAGATGAACACACAAAGTGGTCCACTTGGGGGCAAGGGCATCACATATCGGGGGCACATAGGGCCGAGGCCTGTGCACACCAAGGTGCACTGAGGGTCGAGGTCAGCACCGAATTAGGGCCTGTCCACCTAGCAAGGCCGACCATTACTTGGAAAATAAAGTCAAGTAGCATAGTTCTTGTTTGAATAGGACTCAAATAGTAGAGTTTCAACTAAAGTAAAGGGTTTTACTTGTAGCTCAGCCGAGGGCTCTAGCTAACAAGCAACGGGACGCACTCGGGGTAGGGCTAACACACATCGGGTGTGCGCCTAGAACCGAGATGAACGCACAAAGGGGACCATTTGGGGGCGAGGGCAGTACACATCGAGGGCACATAGTGTCGAGGCCTACGCACACCGAGGGTGCACTGAGGATCGACCGAGCGAGGCATCTAAGGCCCGCAACGACCAGCTAGCCGACAATCTAGCCTCGTGACACAAGGCTTTGCCTTGACTAATCTGAACCGACCCTGCGTCACACACCTGACTTTGGTAGGTAAGTCTCACAGCAAAGATTTTCTGTATACACAACGACTCGAACTTGAGATTTTGCTTAAGCAGAATCAAGTTTCTTACCACATGAACCAATCCCGGTTGGTTTTCTAAAAGTTATTTTCAATGAAAGAAAACCGTGTTAGAAGCAAAGGAGTATTTATCAGCGACGACCTCTTCCTTGATCCCTTTTTGTTCAAAGCAACAACCTCCTCCTTTGTCTCTAGTAGTTGCCAACTACTTCAACTATACGAAAAACCACCCATAAAACGTCATATGTATAGGGGTACATTGGTCATTCCGTCGCATCCGTTGGTTTGACATGGGAAACTTTCAGGAGCTTCGCTCGGTGTCTCTATCTATTTTGATTTTGGCAACTTATAACAGAATTTCGGGAAAAGAAAACCGTTGTTAACTATCAAACAATGAACTGAAAAGACGAAATTGTTTTTCTATCGAACAACGACGTGACACTCGAAAAAAGTTTTTCCTTTTTCTTTCTTTTTTCCTGATTCATTTTTTTCTCACCGATTTTCCCATCAATGGCTTTCTGATCAGGTTCAGAATTAAATGAGGTTAGTTTAATATAATACATTCTGAATTGGTGTATGTGTCTTTCTTTGTGAATGATTTTCTGTGTTGTAATTGAACAAGTGATCGAATATGAATATATATTTCATCTTCTTATATTTGAAAATGCATGATTCTGAATGTTGATGTTATTATAATTTTTAATGACGTTGCACTGCAAGCTAGGGAACGGAGAGCAATAAGTTGTAGAATGGGCGAGGGCGAGGAGTTTATTGAGCTTAGATTCCGGTTGTATGACGGGAAAGATATAGCGCACGGTACTTACAAGTCGTCTATGACTGTTTCAACTCTTAAGCAAAAGATTGTTGCAGACTGGCCCCAAGGTTCTATATTCTTTCTCTTTTCTTTCTCCTTAACTGGATTAAAGATCTTAAGTGCTCATCAGTTTGATATGAAAATATGTATGGGGTAAGTCATTTTTGAAGGTTCGTAATGGCTCATGGCTGATCCTGCTCTGATCATTTATTTTCAGGCAATACGGTCACACCAAGATCATTAAACGATTTGAAACTCATACATGCTGGTAAAGTTCTGGAAAACAACCAGACCCTGGCTGATTGCACCATAACAATGGGTGACCTCCCGGATGATGTTATCACCATGCACGTGCTAGTGAAGCCTTCTAGATCTAAACGAAGGACAGTTTCGTGGACTTCTCTTTCTTGAAACCACAACATTTCTTTATTTTCATCACTCTTCTTGTCTTTTCATGAACAGCAGTTAAGAGCATAGAGGACATGCAGAAGCTGAACCGATGCGGGTGCATTATTCTTTGATCCACAAACATGCTCCTTAGGATTCAACTGGTTAGTGTATAGCTATTCACAACTATACCTCTAGTTTTGTATTTGTTCTGATTTTTCTTTTGAAAATGGCCTACATCTGTATTTTGGCTGCCTTTAACCATAGGATTACCAGGCACATTGTTCCAATATTGATATAACCAAACCCTAATTCTAGATTTGCAACTAGAATATTCATTGTTCGCTGTAAAGACAAATTAGATACACCAACCCGACTGGCTTCAAATTTAATACCATCCAAAAGCTAATTAAATTGCGCATGTACTAAAGCTACAAATAGATGCTAAACATTAATACCACCAACGGCTCCCCATCCACCTTCTTCATTCCCATCATCTACCTTGATTTCTTGTGAAGGTTGAGAATGGCGAGAGCTGTCAGCCAAAAGAAAATCAATGATGCAACCAAAGGTAAGATTATAGCAGAAGTCATTTGGTGACAGAATCCACCCAACATATTGCATACCCTCCTCCACTGCACATGCGAGTTTCCATATTGGCCTAACACCCCAACAGCAATTGCTGCACCGTTAGCAGAGAAGAGCAACCCCATTATGGTCATGTCTAGAACCACCAGAACGGTTCCGGTCTTGTCTTTCGATGTCTGAACCGCCACCGATGCTACCAGAGATGCCGCTGCGTATGAAAATGCTATTGCATTTGATACGAGGAAATACCTAACAAAAAGATATATAGGTGAGTATCTACGTAAGCAGGACATACATACATGAATGCATGATACATCACCAATCCAACTGAAACTGAGAAAACTCACACAAAGGCAGACATGTAGTGCCACTTGGCAGTCACGGGGACATGCAAAGTGGGCAAGGTCTTTGTGATACTTACAGGAAAAGTCTTAGTCTCCTCATCCACGCCCGTCAAAATTGCTGCTACCAACGTAAGGATTAACCCCATAAGCCTTAACAATCCATCGAAGTATCTAATTCTCCTTGAAGTCTCTAGCACCTTCAAGTTGCTCCCAAGTCCATCCATGTTAATCCCTTTCTCCCTTGGTTTCAAAACAAAGAAAACTTGAGGAGAAGGGTCATGGGGGTATAGAAAGACTTGTTGAAAAGGGTTTAAAAAAGAGTGAATTATGGAGAGGTTAAAAAAGGTGGGGGATAGTTAATGGAGTGGACGTTGGAATAAAGGAGGAAGTTGGGGGTGCATTGAAGGCAACTGACTGGAAGCATTAAAGGAATATGTGTAAGTAAAACCAACAGAAAAAGTAAAGCTGGTGCCCAAAGTTGGATATTATTACTTTAATTGTGCCATGACATAGGTGGTCGGCATCTAGGCTATCGATCCAGCAGCCAGCATATATATTCATCGTAAATATAACGATCATATCGTAATCTTTCTTAAGATAATCTTGACACCATAATTTAAAATCAAAATTACTTTTAAAAAATAAATCACATTTAATATCTATAACCAGAACAGTAATTCAATAATATGCTGACCTAACATGAATTGTGCGTGTCGCGGCCGTCTTTCGGTTGGGTTCCGAAATTAGACTTCGACTTAAATTGATTGTCTTAGAGTCGCCACCGACCATTTTAAAAACATTTAGGTAGGTCAGACACTATTTTACCTGATCTGCGTTTTACCAGAAATGTCGGGTTCGGGAGTCGATTACGGTCAATGAAGGATTAGAACCCTTGAGCCGCCCTTTCGGTACCAATTAATTTATCATTTGTTTTTAATTGCAAAAATTATAATTTAAATTTAAAATTTAAAATTTAATTTAAATTGCTTACCTTTGATCGATTAAAAACAATTCTCTGAAAAGTAAAAAATGTTAGATAAGAAATAAGAAATATTAAACAAATCACAAGAAAATAATAAAATAATAAATAATAAAATAAACCGAAAAAAAACCTGCGAAAGGAAAAAAATGTTAGTGGAAATAGAATAATAATTAAATCAAAATATTAAATCAAATCATAAATAAAAATGAATTAGAGATCAGATTGACAATAATCAAAGTTAAACATCAAAATTAAATTATAAATAAATGAACTATGTTATGTGGTACATCAAAAATAGGGATCAGAAGAAGAATTTAACTAAAATATTTGAAGGACTATGGGGGGAAACTTACCCAGAAGAATCAATAAAATCAAACTGTGATCATATTTGAGCGTGTTTTCATAAAGCAAATTGGCCTTCTTTACACAGCCGGCCACCAAGGTTGCAGATCCGTAAAACTCTGGGGCCTCGAATCCCGTCATGGGGTTGCCGAAATGATGGAACAAGTAGAAGCATCAATCGCTGACCGAGCTAAAACAGCAGGCCAGTTCCTCATCGTACGCGGTCACGGATTGATCGCAGATGAAATCTTATCACCTTCAAGGCTTCACGGACTTCATCGGAAGAAGCTACAATAGCATGCATCTGCATTATTTGTAGCACTTCACTTGGGTCATCAACTTCTAGTTTCCTTTCCAATTGAAATTCTGGATTAGCACTGCCTCTTCCTTCAGATAATTCTGGCTTGACACTGGGGGTCACAGCGTCGATGGTGGACTCCGGCTTGACACTACTTGTTGCAACATCATCGGAACCTGAGTTCACGCTAGACATTCCTGATTTGTCTTGCGTGGATTCCGGTTTCACACAAGTTTCTTTACGTGTCTTGAGACATGGAAGAGAACAATAAGGAAGAAGACAAGAAGGGCACTTGTACTTGGACTGAGCTTGATTGAAAACCTCACACTGCCGTGAAGGACCCCCAATTAATTTATCAATGAAGAACCCCCCCCACGATTACACACCATCGGGACAACAATAAATATTTCCTGGAGCGAAAGATTCTTGAAAACCAGCCCTAAAGCATATGGAATCAATTCGTCCAACATCTGAAATCGCCACTCTCTTCAATCGAATCCATGCTTCCCTTCCAGCTAAAGCATAGCTAAACCTGAAACTGCAAACACAGAAGATGAGTATGTTTGTTTTTGAGTTCCTGGAGAGGATGGATGGGTGCGCATGTTAGAGAGAGATGAATGAGTATCCTTTCCCCCTTTTTTGCTTCCTGATGGCCCACTTAAAAAGGAAAAAATAAAATAGGAATTTGTTTTTTAGTTAGTGGGGTAGTGGGTTATTGAGTAGTGTTTGTGAGAAATGTGGAAATGAGGTGGTGGGTTGATTTGTTTTTTTTATTTTTTCTTTAATGGGTGTTGGGTGCTGGGCCCGAATAAAAATTATGATCTACAGCTGTCCCTCTTTGCATATTTTTGTGTTAACAAGAATAGAACAAAGACGAAAAAAGACAATCAATTTTTGTCCGGTGCTTCTTGGAATTAGGCCTTTGTCTTCTTCTCGGTTTAAAGATTTCGGCTTGAAAATTCTTCCAGAAATTAGTTCCTCACTGTCATCGAGCTGAATGAAATCGAACTCGTCAGTTTTTGTTGACAGATAGTCTTTCTCGCCTCGAGCTATGTTGTAAATTTGATTTACCTCTGAGTTGAATATAATCGAACTCGAAGGTCTTTGGTTGGCAGATAATCCTTCTCGCCTTAAGCTATGCTGCAAATAATGTGCCTTGGAGCTTAGCGTAGTCGAACTCGAAGGTCTTTTGTATTTCAAGAGAAACATTTTCAAAGGTTTTTGTTTGTTTCAAGAGAAACTATTACAAAGGTTTTTTGTGTTACAAGAGAAACTGTCCACAGGGAGGCAAAATTTTGTTTAAAGAGAAACATATTCAAAGGTTGGTGTTTCAAGAGAAACTGTCTCAAGAGAGACAAAACTTTGTTTCAAGGGAAACTGTCTCAAGAGAGACAAAATATGTTTCAAGAGAAACTGTCTCAATAGAGACAAAGCTTAGTTCCAAAAGAAATTGTCTTAATGGAGACGAAATTTGTTTCAAAGAAAACATATTCAAAGATTTTGTTTCAAGGGAAACTGTCTCAAGAGAGACAAAATTTTTTCAATAGAAACTGTCTCAAGAGAGACAAAACTTTATTTTGAGTAAATTAGTCTCAAGCGAGACGACCCCTTGTTTCGAGAGAAAAAATCTCAAAGGCGATCGATAATCTATTTGCTCCTGCATGTTAAAGAAATCCTTTCAGAAGCTCTAATCGTTGACTTAAGGAAGTCAAATCTGTGGATGGCATGTTTGTTGAGACGCTAAATCACTTCATCGGGCACAATATCCTTATTTGTGAAGTTGAAATCGTGAATGGCCCCTTCGTTGTGAAGTTGAGCCTTGACTTAAATATCCTTCATCGTGAAGTTGAAATCCAAGCTTGTATTGTTTCGAGTCCAATATCCTTCGCCGTGAAGTTGAAATTGGCTCTGAATGAAATTGGGAAGCCCCTTCGCCGTGAAGTTGTGCTTTGAATTGGATATCCTTCGTCGTGGAGTTAAAATCCAATCTTGTGTAGATGGGCATGATATCATTCGCCGTGAAGTTGAAATCGTGGATTTGTGGGCACGATATCCTCATTCGTGGAGTTGAAATCGTGGATGGCCCCTTCGTCGTGAAGTTGGGCCGTGAACTTGAAATCCAATCTTGAGAAAGTTGATTTTGAGTTGGATGTCCTCCGTTGTGGAGTTGAAATTCAATTTCAAACAAATTGTGTCGCTTCGAGTTCAATATCCTTCGTTGTGAAGTTGAAATTGACTCTGAACGAGACTCGAAAAGTTGTTTTGTCGTCAGACAGTCACCCCTTCGCTGTGAGGTCGAGCAACCACCATCAACTTTTGAATGTGCTTTTGAATCGAATATCTTTCGTCTTGAAGTTGACACTTGACTCAAAAAACTGCAAAACAAATTATGTATGTTAAAAATGATAAATATGATGTCTAAGATGCATGCAACATGAATTAATTCTTTTTTATCTCCTGGATGTAGCCTCATTCTTTGTCTGCTTGTGTCTGCATGTGGAGGAAAGGCCTTCAGAAGATCTGATAATTCGCATCAGGATGTCGAATCTCCAAAGATGCCCCAATATTCAATATTGAATCTTCAAAGATGCCCCAATTGCTCCTCATTTCTTGCTTCATCATTGATTCTAAGCATGAGTTTTGTGTCTGAGAGTCACGTGTCATTTACTAAGATCCACTCTAGAGAGGTTGTCCTTTTTGAAGAAAAAAATGTTTTTCTTTCTCTTTTATTTTTAAAGTTCTGAAAATATCAATTAAAAGAGTTTCGAAAAATGTTTAATCAAAAGTTTTGAAAATATTGCCCCTTTCACGATTTTATAATTGAGACGAATCATAAAACTAGAGTTCATTGGATATCAAAAAATTAATTACATTGTTAATCCTTCAATAAATTATAGTTATTTGACAAGTGCCAAGATCAAAGCTATCTTTGGGAAATGGTTAAACAAGGAAAAAAAAGTCTCAGGTTATTATGTTTGGTCAACGGTTTGACATTTTTGTTTATTTGATTCTCAATGGTTTCATGGGGTAGCTCGCATGCTCCTTTACTGGAAGTGTTCTCCGACTCCCAGCTTTCATGGTCACACTCAGATTGTGTGATGCCTTCTCAAGGAATTTGTATATTCAAGCTGCCTTTTTAGGTTTTCAACTCGAATCCTCTTTTGGTTTCAAGGCGTAATCAGAATCTACGTCTTGAACCCTCCTTTGTTTTTTCTCTATCATGCATTAAAGATTTTAGAAAACTTTTTGCAAATAAAGATTAATCCTGATGGGCGAGATGAAATCTGAAGATAGTGTCTTCTGTTTAGAAGTCCATATATGATTAGAAGGGACTTTTAAGGCACGTAACGTAGGCCATGGTTCATGGTTATGAAAGAAAATGATAAATAGGCCCAAACAAGTGTTTCAGGGTATTGAACCAAGGATCAATTCATTCTGATGCCTTCAATCATGTCTTGCTCAATTTGAATATGCTCATATGTGTTTCTCTTGATTTTCTCTAGATGCTACATGAACTTCGAGTGAAGTGATTCTGAATGATTATGCTTGATCAATCTCATAATTTGAATCTCGATGCGTCATTTGAATCAAGAGAATCTTTGTATAAGCGTCTTGTTTTCTTTTTTCTTTATTTTTGCTTTTTTATTTTCTTTTTGTTTTTTATTTTCTTTTTGCTTTTTTCTTTGTTTTTCTCTTTTTTCTTCTTCTTTTTTGTTCTTGATTGGATCTTCGCACTTGACACTTGGTTCACCTTTTGGCATCTTCTTGGATTGATGTCTTCACTCATGTGAGCAG